GTATAGGAATATAATGCATATATAATATATTCCAACATATTTTAGAACTATAGTCTGTAATATATTCCAATATATTATAGGACTATAATCAAAGATGGCCAACTCTTTCCCAGTTATAGGAGTGATATGAAGTACTATATTGAAAAAGCATATATGAAAAATGGAGAACAATTAATAAAAATATATATCAACACTATGATTCTACGTAGGGATTAGGAATACCAAAGCTCTTGGACTTTTAAAAACCAAAGATTTTAAAGTTATTATCAGTGAATTAATGAGTTAATTATTAGACAAAGTAAAAATGAATAGAGAAAAATAGGAAGAATCCTGGTTCAGTGGTGACTACTGGTGTCATCTGAGTCATACGATGAATACGTGTCTGGAACTCTTGAAGTCCATCACAAAGTCGGTTTCTTCTGTTTCATGTGATTCTATAGGTAGATGTCAGAAATACAGACTCAGTTTGTTTTTGGTCTTTGTGTTTTATGCAGTTATATTTTATTTTATAATTGGACTAGTGAGAGAATCAATAAGCAAATATTTGAATACATAAAGATGAATAAGGTTAAGTATTGTCCAATTATAAAAATATTTGCCAAGACAGCAAGCACGGTTAATATGTACTGAAACAGTGATAGCCAAGGAAAAATGAGTGATGCATGCCTGTGACCTCTTTGGCGAGTGATAGTGTAGACAGTATAAACTATAGATAATGTTTAAGGTATGGGTCAGTGGCAAGTTCAAAACTGCTAATTTTCTGAAGAGAAAATGAAATACACTTCAAACAATGATCGCCTAAATGACTCATTAGATGAAGATGAATCATGAGTGAGAATGTCCCATTGTATGCTCTGAACTCCTCTGTGCTTTGTGCTCTGCAGAATGGATGAATTGTGCACCTTGAAAAGTTCTTCCCTGACCACCTGAGGCACTTGCATCACGGTTAGGCTCAGGCAGACTAATGTGAGTAATAGTCAACATTTTTGATTTCCTTCTGCTGCCCTTTTAAGAGGACTCATTGTATTATAAAAATTGTGTGACATTATCAAAGATGTCCACATCCCAGTGAAAGATACGGAGATGATATGAAGCATTGTATTGATAATGCATATATAAAAACCTGAGGATAGTTAATTAAGAGGTATATCAATGTTGAAATGATTCAGTATACAAATTAGGAATATTAAAATTATTCTCGGGATTTTTTTGAACCATTAAGACTTAAAATTGCTAGTAGTGAATTAACAAAATCAATCAATAAAGAAGGTAGAAATGAATGGAGAAAGAGATGAACAATCCTGGATCGATGATGACTGCTGGTGGCGTATGAGTCATATGCGATGAATACGTGTCTGGAACTCTGAGGTCCATCACAGAAGAAATCTAGCTCATTTTCTGTGTTTGATATAATCCTTTAGACAGGCATCAGGAATATGAGTTTGGTTTTGGTCTTTGTGTTTACATGTTTTAATTCCATGTTTATAATTGGCCAATATAAAAACCAATAAACAAATATATAAATAAAGATGAGTAAGGTTAATCATTGTCCAATTGTAAAAAATATTTGGTGAGGCAAGAAACACTATTAATATGTATTGAAAATAGTAAAGTGTGGAGAGAAGTAAATGTGCATGTCTTTCACCTCTTTGGCTATGGTGATATGGACAGGATAATTATAGACAATGTTCAAATTCTTGGTTAATTGCAAGTTAGAAATTGTTCATTTTTTAAAGAGAAAATGAAATAAGTTTACTCCAAATAATGATAGCATAGATGACTAACTAGTGATAGGTGAAAAACCAGGATTGATAGTTAAAATGCCTCTCTTCTGTTATTATCTTCTTTGCTCTGTACTTAGAATGGACGTACTTATTCTGATTTGAGGACTTCTTCATGGTCACGTGTTCTATTTGCACCATGCTTAGGAAGGAGCATGTGTACCAATGTGAGTGACAGTCAGATTTCTTGTATTTCTTTGGGTAGTTTATGTAAGAGGACTCAATGTACTGTAAATAAATATGTAATATAACCAAAGGTGGTGAATTTTATCTAGTGAGGGATATTGGAGTCAAAAGAAGTATTATATTGATAATTCACATACGAAAAACAGGATAATTCATGAAACATATATTAATGTCAGAATGATTAGGGATATCTTTTTGGGGTTCTGTGAGTCATAAGGTTTAAAGTTATTATTAGTAAATTAATGAATTAATCAACAGACAATGTAGAAAATAACAGAGAAAAGAAGGGCCAGTCCTGGATCGATGATGACTGCTGGTGGCGTATGAGTCATAGACAATGAATACGTGTCTGGAACTCTGAGGTCCATCTCAAAAGATACCTAGTCTATTCCCTGTTTCAAGTGAACCTATAGACAGATGGCAAAAAACAGAATGTATATGTGTTTGGTTTTCATGTTTATGAATTTTTATTTTATATTTATAATTGGATCAATGAGAGAATCAATTAATAAATATATAAATAAAGATGAATAAGGGCTGGGTGTGGTGGCTTACACCTGTAATCTTAGCACTTTGGGAAGCCAACGCAGGTAGATCTCTTGAGGACAGGAGTTCAAGACCAGCCTGGCCAACATGATGAAACTCCATCTCTACTAAAAATACAAAAATTAGCCAGGCCTGTGCCTCTAATCCGAGCTACTTGGGTGGCTGAGACACATGGATCTCTTGAACCCAGGATTCAAAAATCTGCTTGAACCTGGGAGGTTGCAGTGAGCTAAGATCACGTCACTGCAGCGTGGGCAATAGAGCACGATTCTGTGTCAAAAAAGAAAAAAGATGAATAAGGTTAAACATTGTCCAATTATAAAAATATGTGGAAAGACAACAAACACTATTAATACATACTGAAATTGGTGACTACTAAAGATAAGTCTTGCATACCTGTTACCTCTTTGAATGAGATAGACAGTATAAATTATTGACCATATTCAAGTTCTGGGTCAGGGACAAGTCCAAAGTTATTTTTTTATTTTTATTTTTATTTTTTTTGAGATGAAGTCTCACTCTGTCACCTAGGGTAGAGTGCAATGGCACGATCTCAGCTCACTGCAACCTCCGCCTCATGGGTTCAAGCAATTCTTGTGCCTCAGCCTCCCTAATAGCTGGGATTGCAGGCATGCGCCACCACGCCTGGCTAGTTTTTGTATTTTTAGTAGAGATGGGGGTTCACCATGTTGCTCAGGCTGGTCTTGAACATCTGACCTCAAGTGATCCACCTGCCTTTGCCTCCCAACGTGCTGGGATTACAGGCATGAGCCACCACATCCGGCCAGTTATTCATAAAAAAAAAAAATGAAATATACCTCAAATTAATGAACATGCAAATGAGTATAAATGTTTACACATTCATTAATTTGAGGTATATTTGAAAAGCAAGGATCAATGGAGAGAAGGTCTCATTTTTGTTGTCATCTCTTCTGCTCTGTACTCAGAATGGAAGCACAGAAGCTGGTTTTCACTGGTTAAGAGCTATCTCTGTGCTAGAAGCTGGACACCAATGTGAGTAATAGTCAAAGTTCTTATCCCATCTTGGGTGTTTTGTTTAAAGGTTTATAGTGCATAAACAAAAAATATGAAATATAATCCAATAAGGCCATGAGTAGCCTAGGGATAAATATGGAATGGATAGGGAATGTTACACTGAGGGATGCTTGTATGAAAAGCATGTCCTGTGTTATTATGAAAGGTAGTAATGAGGGGATGTGGTATTGTGAGGCTGACTCTATATACAAATTAGAGATATCAAGGCTCCTCTTGGGGTTTTGTGAGTGATAGTGTTTAAAAGTTATTAGTGGTGAATTAATGAAGTAATAAATAAAGTAACAAAGAATGAAGAGCATCAGAGCTAATCCTGGATCAATCATGACTACCGGTATTGGGTGGGTCTTAGTCAGTGAATACCTATCTGGAACTCTGACGTCCATCAGAAAAGAAATACAGTTTTTTCCCTCTTTTGGAAGTGATCATATAGACAGATATCAGGAATATGCAGGTGTCTTGTTTTTGCTGTTTGTGAGCACGAATTTTCAATCTATTATTATAATTCAATCAATCAAGCAACCACTAAACAAATATACAAATAAATTATGTTGGATGGGACTAAGCATTGTCCAACTATAAAAACAATTTGTGAGGCAAGAAAAACTACGATATGGTCAGGCGTAGTGGCTCACACCCGTAATCCCATCACTTTGGGAGGCCAAAGTGGGTGGATCACCTGAGGTCGGGGGTTTGAGACCAGCCTGGGCAACATGGTAAAACCCCGTCTCTACTAAAAATACAAAATTAGCTGGGCGTGGTGCCATTTGCCTGTGATCCCAGCTACTTGGGAGGCTGAGGCAGGAGAATCGCATGAACCCGGAAGATGGAGGTGGTGGTGAGCTGAGATCACATCACTGCACTTCAACCTGGGCAATAGAGTGAGAAGAAAACCTATGATATATATTGAAAACACCAATACCATTAGGAAATAAGTGGTATGAGGTTGTTATTTCTTTAGTTAGGGATGTTATAGACAGTGATAAATAATAATGAATGTTTATGTGTTGTGTCAGTCGCGTGACTGATACTGTCTGGCTGTGTAGAGTAAATAAAATAGATGTTATCCCGAATAACCTATATGACTGAATCAGTGGAAGATAGAATGCAAAGAGTAACGCAGATAATGTCTTAATCTTTTCTGATCATCTCTTGTGCTCTGTACTCCTCATAATAAACACACTCTGGCTGATTTTATCTTTCTTTTTTAATGGGAAGATCCATGATTGCATCTATGTGTTATATGGTGTATGGAGACCAATGTGAGTGACAGTCAACGTTCTTGGTTTCAGTGTTTTTTAAAAAAGATATTCGTAGTATTATTAAGAAGTAGAAGTGTTAAATATAATCATTGAAGGTAAACGTTGGCCCATTTGTAAAAATAGGATTAATATAAAGCATTATGTTGATTAATGCATATATATAAAACATTGAATTTAATTAATGAAAGAGATGTATTGCTGTGAGTAGTATTGACTGAGACAGATATTAGAGCTATTTAAGGATTTTACTCTCAAGTTTTTGTGGCTCTAAGGTAATTATTTTATTGTTAGTGAACTGATAAGTTAATCAATAAAAACACGTAGACATGAATTAAGAAAATGAGGTCCAAGCTTGGGCCGGTGATGACAGCTGGTGGCGTGTGAGTCATGGATGGTGAGTACTAAGTGTCTGGAACTCTGAGGTTCAATATAATAGAAATCTAATCTATTCCTCTGTTGAAAAAAATCCTTTAGATAGATGTTAGTGATATCGAGGGCTATTTGCTTCCAATTTTACAGTTCATTGATTATGATTGTATTAATATAAATGAATTAATGAAAGAATCAAACAAAGATTTAAATGATTAAACATGAAGAGAGAGAGAGAGGCATATTCTAATTGTTAACATATGTGGCAAGGAAAGAAATACTATTAATTAATTTGGAATGGATAATAAATGGGCTATCGGTTTTAACTCTCTGGCTAAGAATCATAGAGCCATTGATAGAGCAGTAACACTGATTATTAGTTATCAATGGCTATGTGATTTTTTAGGTCAATTCGCAGGTCAACTGGGTCACTTGTAAGTTCAATATTTATTTTATTAAGGGGAAAATAAGCAAATATTAACATAAATCAATAAATACCATCTGACAGAGTAAATGGAAGGTAGAATGAAAAAACTAATGGATAGAAAGTCTCACATTTTGTCTTCTGCTCTTCCTTGTAATCCTCAGAACAGTCACTTCCTGCACTGATTCTGCCATGAGCACTTGCTCTATGGCTGTTTTAAGGAACCTGCAGACACAGGTCAGTAATCGTCAAAGTTCTTGTCTTAGTTTGGGCCATTTAAGAGTGGTCAATGCATTATTAATAAGTAGAAAACATAATTAAAGAAGACTAACCATGGCCCAATGAACATGGGGTTGATATGAAACATTATGTTGAGTAATGCATGTGTGAAACAATGAGGTCAGTTCAAGAAACAGGTCTAATTTCTGTAGGAACTGATCTTCAGATAGACAACAGGGTTATCACAGCTCTTGTTGTATTTTTTTCTGATTCATGTCTATTTCCTTATTATAAAGTAGTAAATTAATAAATAAATGAAATAGACAAAGTATAAATGAAGAAAAAGATTGATGGTCTGTGGCCTGGTCCAGAGATGATGACTCGTGGGTATGAGTCAAGGATGATGAGTAATAGAAGTCAGGAAGTTTAAGCTCCAGTATGAAAGAAATCTAGCCTATTGCTCAGTTGGAAATGATCCTGTAGACAGTAGTTAAAAATATTCAGTTATTGGCTGGGCGCGGTGGCTCACACCTGTAATCCCAGCATTTTGGGAGGCCGAGGTGGGCGGATCACAAGGTTAGGAGTTCGAGACCAGCTTGACCAACATGGTGAAACCCCTTCTCTACTAAAAATATAAAAATTAGCTGGGTGTGGTGGCGAGTGCCTATAATCCTACCTACTTGGGAGGCTGAGGCAGGAAAATCACTTAAACCCAAGAGGTGGAGGTTGCAGTGAGCCGAGATTTCACCACTGAACTCCAGCCTGGGCAACAGAGTCAGACCCTGTCTCAAAAAAACAAAAAACAAAAAGCCCAAAATCAATTATCCTATACCCTATTCTTATGCTTTTGTAACTCATGGATAATGATTATATTATTACAAGTAAATTAATGCATGAAGAACTCAAGTAAAAGAAATAAGTGAATAAAAACATGGCCACATCTGGACCAAATATAACATGTGTAATAAAGCAAGTCACAGTACTGATCTATTGCTCAGGAAGTGGGAATTGTGTCAGATTTTTAATCTCTCACAATGAGAAACATGTAGACAAATATATGAGTTGTCCATGTTTATGTTGAGTTGTCTTTGGTTTCCTGGTTGTTTGTCTTATCCCTAAATAGGGATGTTGTTTATATAAATAAAAAACTAATTTTAAAGAGGGCCAGTGACAAAAATTTGTTCTACAACAAGAGCTATTGTGCTCACTGAATTCCATTACAAAGTGACATCATCTGTTATTACTTTGATCATGATCAACTCTGCATGTGCTACGATGATCCATGCTATAGTCTAGATCATGTGTAAGGATACTGATTTTATCTTAATAATGAACAAATGCATGTTAATAGTAATCAATTAGCTAAAAAGGATAAAGCAAGGGCCAGTAGCAAACATGTCTGGAAATAATGGTTGTGATGTAACTGGGTCCAGAGATTGTGTTCTTCTTAAAGCAAATATTTTGGCTCTTACAAGTGTTTGCATAAGGAGGCTATACATAGATGCACATTATCAGACACGTTCTGGGTTTCTGAGAGTTTACATATTGTTCTGTTTCTTTACCAAGAATGAATAGTTGGCCAAATTGGTTTGTGAATGAATGACTGAAGTGGTATCAAGCACTGTTCATTGGTATGAAATTGCTCTGAAACAAGTATTTAGATGAATCTAATTATGCATATGGGAGGTCCAAAGATTTAGGTTGTTGAGTGCATGGGTGGAGGCATTGAAGCTGGCATGTTTTGCAGAGAACTCTCATTCTTGATTCAGGTGTTGGATTCAAAGGCATCCATTTAATTTATTTAAGTTCTGGGGTACAAGTGCAGGATGTGGATGTTTGTTACTTGGGTAAACGTGTGTCACTGTGGTTTGCTGCACCTATCAACCCATCACCTAGATATTAACCCCGGCATGCATTAGCAATTTTTCCTGATGCTCTCCCCACCCTTCCCTGACAGGTGCCAAGGTGTGTTGTTCCTCTCTTGTGTCCATGTGTTCTCATTGTTCAGCTCCCACTTATAAGTGAGAATATGCAGTGTTTGGTTTTCTGTTCCTGCATTAGTTTGCTGAGGATAATGGCTTCCAGCTTCATCCATGTCCCTGCAAAGCACATGCCCTTTAATGGCTGCATAGTATTCCATAGTGTATATGTATCACATTTTCCTTATCCAGTCTATCATTGATGGCCATTTGGGTTGATTTCATGTATTTGCTGTTGCAAATAGTGCTGCAATGAACATACATGTGCATGTATCTTTATAATGGAATGATTTCTATTCCTTTGGGTATATACCCAGTAATGGAATTGCTGGGTCAAATGGTATTTCTGCTTCTAAATCTTTAAGGAATCACCACACTGTCTTCCACAATGGTTGAACAAACAGTGTAAAAGCTTTCTTATTTCTCTTTAACTTTGTTGGCGTCTGTTTTTTCTTGACTTTTTAATAATTGCCATTCTGACTGGTATGAGGTAGTATCTCACTGTGGTTTTGATTTGTATTTCTCTGATGATCAGTGATGTTGAGCTTTTTTTCTTGTTTGTTGGCTGCATGTATGTCTTCTTTTGCAAAGTGTCTGTTCATGTTCTTTGCCCACTTTTTAATGGGGCTGTTTGTTTTTTTCTTGTCAATTTGCTTAAGTTCCTTGTAGATTCTGGATATTAGACCTTTGTCAGATGAATAGATTGCAATTTTTTTCTCCCATTCTGTAGGTCATCTGTTCACTCTGATGATAGTTTCTTTTGCTGTGCAGAAACTCATTAGTTTAATTAGATTCCACATGTCAATTTTTGCTTTTGTTGCAGTTGCAAAGGCATCTATTTCAAATGCAAAATTAATAATTGAATTAATGTGACAAAAAAGAGGAACTTTCTGGCTAATTGTAAAAAGAGCATGACCCAATTATAAAAATGAATCTAAACTTGCTCACTTTTCATTTATTAGAATATTAGAGCACAGTCAAAATTTAAGATGTTTCATTCTTTTTACCATTTGCTGTCTGCCCTCCAGAATGGATTATCATTGGTGAAGACCTTGGCTGGTAAGTCTCTGGGAAAGAAGGCTATAGGCCCATAAATACAATGTGCAAAGTTCTTGTCCTTGGGTGGGGTGTTTGCTCAGAGGTATTCATTGTATTATAAAATAATGCATAAATGACTACATCTATATACAGAATTAAAAAAGAACAGGGATGAGAGTGTGTTACATACCAAAAATTAGAATGAGTCCAATCAGAGCATCTGTGGAATTATACATTTTTAATATCCCGAAACACTGAATTTTATGAATAAATTAATAAATCAGGAATGTTCCTTCTTTTAGTAAGGATCATATACACAAAGAATAGTAATAGTCAATGTTTTTGCTCTGGGAGAATGGTGAGTTCAAGTTTGTTTTGTTAAGAGAAGCAAATAAATAATTTCACAAATTTACCAATACCTAATTACAAATAGCTAAGCAAATCAAGGAGGGAAACATGGATCAGTTTTTGATATTTTCACTCCCTTTTTGTAAGGGATATTCCTGCATATTTTGTGTATAAGTTTTTAAAGGTATAAAATAATACATATTTATTTTTCCTTTTTTTCACCATCTGCTTTCAATTCCATAGAATGAACACACTCATCATTACAATGATTCTGTGATGATGAAGACATTCATGGGTCAGTGTGAGTAATGATCCAAGTTCTTGTCATTGTTGGATGGTCCATTTAGGGTATTTAGTGTATGATAATAATAACACATAATCAGTGAAGGCTACATAAGGACCAATGGTAAGATTGTATTATAAATCAAGTTTCATGATGACTACCGTTTTGCACAACAGAAGTCCTTTTTAAAAGAGGAGCTCTACATTTTTAGCTCTGTGGGTATGGAATATGGAGTCAGATGTATGTAACTCTCATAGTTTTTATGTTAGGTGGTTCATTTAAGGGTATTCCTGATATTGTTAAAATGGATAATATGTTAATTAATAAGATGGCACTCCATGCACAAACCAGAGATAAGAATGTGGCATAAATCATTGTTTGTGATCAATTTCTATGATGGTTACTTCATGTTCACTAAATCGAAACCTAAATCTAGGTCTTTTCATTTGGTAATATCCTCTTTCATTTGGTAATATCATCTACAGGATGGATAGACCAGAGCTGATTAAATTATTCTTCCATGATGAGGAACTTTACCTTATCCCTCGGAGTAAGGAGAATGTCATGCAATGTAAGTAATAAAGTTCTTGGGTTGGGTTGTTAGTTCATGATTTCTACTGTCATTTAAAAAGATAATTAAATTTTAAAAGGTCATGCATAGGCCTATGATGAGAATGTGTTATGGACCGAAACTAATCCAATTTAGCACAAGTGAAGTATAAGGAAAAAAAACTTAGCTTTTCCGTTCATTTTCAATAGTTAAATGTCACATTATATGTTTGTCTCACTGATTATTTATAGACTCTTCTCTTGATAAAGGCTGTTACTCATTTATGGAGTCAGTATTCTAGTTGTTGAGTAGGATGGTGGTTCAAGCTTGTTCATCGGATATCTAAAAATGTTTCAAATTAAATGTAGAGGGGCCATGTCTGGACCGATGATGTGAACGGAATGCATCTGAATAAAAATTATGATCAATCATTTTTGAACAACTGAGGTCCACTGCAAAAAGAAGAACTCATATGTAAACCTTTGTGGGAATAATGTCAGGCAAGTTTGGGAATCTAGTTCCGGAGCTTGAGAGGGTTCACAGATACTGATTTTATACAATTAGCAGATCCACTTCTGTGGATCAACACACAAGTATATTCATGAGTAAAGAAAAGGAGGTTAAGACATGGACCAATTCTGAAGGCATGTTGTAAAGCAAGCAATATAATTAATTCAGTTCTGAAATACCTTGGTCCATCAAGAAAAAGAAAACAGATTAAATTTGTCACCACTTTGGGTAAGAAGCATCTAGATAGAAGTATTTAATAGTCAATGTTCTGCTCCTAGTTTGCTGTGGGTTCCCAGATGTTTGATTCATTAAGACAAAAAAAATTAAACAAACAAATACGTGTATAGCTAAATAAATGGGTGCCAAGTATGAACCAATGATAAGGGTATTTCATTATTTTCTGCATCTGCTTTGTAAGCCCACAGAACAGAGGTAACTTGGCTGTTTTAATAATTATTTAAAGGATGAAGATCTTGACTGTTACCCATGTGGCCAAGGAGAGTGTAGAACAGGGCAAGTCAGATTAAATTTTTATTCTTGGTTTAGGCTTTTGTTAGAGATGATGATTATTTATTATTTAAAAAGAAGAAATGACTTTATGCAATCATAAAATCCAAGAAGACCATGCCTAAACCAATGATAAGAAGCAACATGGCACAAGTATACATATGTAACAAACGTGCACGTTATGCACATGTACCCTAGAACTTAAAGTATGATTAAAAAAAAAAAAAAAAAAGAATGAATCCTGCCAAGTGTCATTTTGCAAAACGAGATCCATTTAAAAAGAGGTTTGGTTTGCTACCTCTTAGATTAAGGAGATTATAGGCTGTTTCGAGCCTTAGTCAAAGATCTCGTTCTTGGGTTAGTTGTAGTTCTCTTGAGTTTTATTATTTTATTAAAAATAACAAATAGTTAAACAAGTACAAAGCGTTTATGCTAGTAAAATTACAATGGCCACTCATGACCAATTGAGAGATTATGCCATGAAACAAGGATTTGTTTAACTTGGGTTAACTGTTTTACCACTGTTTGAGGAGGTCATGGAAAGATTTAAATGATAGTCAATTTCTCCCCTCTTTCTTGGGAGTAGATTCTTTGTTGTTGACTTTATATTTGAAAATGAGTAACAATTAATAATTAAGTAAATTAATGAACAGCAAAAACATTAGAATGGACAAGAATATTCAAATGATAACATTTCATGAAGCAAGAATTATGATCAACACAATTCTGCTTCTCTGAAATCCATTTAACAGAAAAGAGTCAGTCTGTTTTCTCTGTGTATAATGAGGTCAGAAACAGGTGTTAAAACATTCAGTGTTCTTGTTTTTGTATTTTGTTGGGTTCATGGAGTTGGTTATTATGATTAAGGAAATAAGTATATAAAAAAGTAAATTAGAAGAGGGCAAATCATGAACCAGTGGTTAAAATGTGTTTTGAAACAAAGATTATAAGTATTTCAGTTCTGCACCATGGACTTTTATGAAACGAAATCTTCATCTTTTATATCTTTATTTTAATAGTACATAGTACCATTCTGCATATACTACGGATATATTTTAGACATTTTTGCATGCTACTTACATTGAGTTTTTTTCACTATCTCAGTTACAAATTCTAGTGAACTGATTTATTTGGAGGTGGTGTTAGGAAACCCCTATACCCCATATTTTAAAAATTTTCTGGCAGGTGATATCGGAGAGAGTACTAAAATAACTAATATTAAGGTATTAATTTCAGCTCAACAAGTATTGATGCTAATTCTTGTCAGACCCCATGTCAGGAGTGGCATTTATATATGAATTTAGTTCCACTCATTAAGTAGCTCTGTGAGATTAGATAGAGACCCATTTATAAATGCAACAATTCAATAGAATAGGGAAGGTAGATGGGCTCTCTGTGAGGTTAGAGGGAGACCCACTTATAAATGCCACAATTTGATAAGATAGGCCAGGTAGATGGGCTTTCCGGAAGCACAGAAGGTATGCCTTCAACTCAATCTTAGTGTCAGGTGAGTTGTGGAAGAGATGACTCCTGAGCCAGTGACAGACTCACTAGTCTGTAGCTCCGCAAAGCTGGGGACCACACTCCTCTCCTTCACTGCTCTGCCCCTTGTGCCTTACATGGAGAGCACACACAATAAGCATCTGTTGAATGAGTAGGTGAATACATGGTGAATAAAAGAATGGAGGAGTGAAGCAGTACATGAACAAATGAGTCTTTGAGTAAACACAGGAATGAATAAATGAAGTAATAAAAATGGGAAGGAGTACGTGAATGAGTGAATGGATCAATGATAGGTCCATGAGTGACTGAGTCAGTGATAAGTGGATAAATGCATGGTGAGTTAATGAGTGGGTGAGTTCACGTGTCAGTAGAAATGTCACAAAGTGAATGAGTGGATGATGAAAGACTAAGTCAATGAGCAAATGAATGGAAGACTAATAGGTCAAGGAGTCAAGAAATGAAAGACGAACATGTAAATGGATGAGTGAATCAATGGGTCCATGAATTCCTGAATGAATTTATGAATTAACGGATAAATGAAAGTTAATTAGTAATAAGGAAATAAATGAATAGATGAGTCAGTGTATGAATCAATCAATGAGTTAATGACTCAGTGAAGAACCAAATGAATGAATTAATCTATGAATGAGTGAGTTTACAAATGAATAAATCAAAGAAAGAGGAAACAATTGAATAAATTAACTGGGTAGATAAGTCAGTGAATGAAACAAATTATGAGTGAATAGATAGACAAAAGGATGGATAAATGATGGATATTTTATAGCTAATGAATAGAACAGTGAATTAGTGAGTGAGCAAATGAGTCAGTGAATGAGTATGTAATCAAGGAATAAATTAGCTCTGGGAATGAGTAAGTGAATAAGTGAATGAGTCAATAAATTAGTGAATTAGTCACTTATTGAAGCGTAAGGCAGTGAGTGAATGAACTCACACTGGGACTCTTTCCCTGACTGTTCCACAGAGAATAGTCATGCCCCAGCTTCACACCACAGCATAAATAATCAGAGCACCCACCCTACACTATCGTGGGCGTTTGTTTACATGTGATCACTAAACTGATGTGCCGCAGGGGCCAGGAACTGGGTCAAATTATTCTCTCTATCCCTGGTGCCTGCCCAGCTCTGAGCCTCGGAAGAGCACAGTAAATTGTTGCTGAATGAATGAACAATAGCTAAAAATACATGCGCTTTTTTGGAACCAGGATGGGCCGTCTGAGAATGGCCTGGGAGCTGTTCTTTGGGGAGGTGTGCTGTGTGTCAGATGGTTTGTGGCATCCTCCTACACAAGTGCAGATTCTGCCTTGAGTCCAGCTTCCTGTGTCCAGTGCCAGACAGTGAGACAGGATACTGGCAGTTCAAACTGCCCTGGACGTTGGCCCATCCTTGGGCAATGCTGGCTTGGCATGGTGGAATGGAAGCCCTAGGTCTTCCTGAAAGCTGCCCTTGCCTCTGCCAAGACAGGAGATCAGAAATAACCCGGTCTTGTTTTTATGCCTTCAGCAAGTGGGCCCACTCCATGCCTTTCCAAGCAAACCACATTCCTCCTTGCTGTAGTTGTGGGACATTGGGTTGAAGTACCCCTTAACCTTTATCTGGTAGATGAGAATAACAATCTCCTGCCTGGGTGGATGTGCTGCTTTACAGGAGATTATTTAATGCATGTTACATACAGAGCGTGGTACCTGGGAGGAAACAGATGTTTCAGAAATGTTACATGCCAATTTTCTTCATCCCCACCCAACGTAGCTATATTTGATGATTTCAAATGCATTAATTTAAAAGCTCTCAAATGGATGTGATACTCAAATTCCCCTCTTCCAGAAGATTGGAGAGTTCAACTGAGTTCTAGGAAGAATGCCAGTCTGGATGGTATTCTGGGTCAGTCCAGAACTTCAAGATGGCATGGCATGCCCTTCTACCAGGGAACAGTCAACCAGAAAAATGAGTTGGCAATATCCACGCTCTATGTAGGACACATACACGAGACCCACCCTTCATCTCTCTACCCTTCCCTCCCTTCCTTCATTCAACATATAGGTATTCAAGGCCCACTGTATGCCTCACACTGACCATTTCTTGTCTTCTCTTGTCTTGGCTGGCTCCTGACCCTGGATTTCATCTCTCACTGCTATTCTCACGTCCTTCCTTTGAACTTGGCGATTGGTTCTTGGTCATCTGGTGTGAATACTGCCCTCTCCTTCATGAGGACTTGATTTGGGCTTCCTACTTCAGAGCACATCAGGTAGACTCCCCCTTCTTAATTCGGGGCATCGGGGACCCCTATTCTGACTCTTCTAGGTCAGCCGTTTTCCATCTGGGCAAGCTTCAGCCCCTTATAAGAGGAGCTTAGGCTGTGTTGGTGGCAGGGTGACCTCTGAATGCTGGGGTTGGGCAGCAGCGTCAGCATGGAAGGCTTCGGGCTAGACTCTGAGATTCACTTGGTGCCTGAAAGCTGGTCTTTCAGAGGAGTTAGGTTGTCACTGCCCCCCTGTCCACTGAATTCCTTGAATAATGAGGCAAAACGACCTTTCAACATTCAGCAACTTGCAATTAATTTAGTTTTCCCATCCCTCCCACTGGTTACTCAGCCTGTGCTGGGCCTGACACAAATGTCAGCCCCTCTCCTACCTTCACAGCCCCCCGCCCTCTCCCCTAGCTTCCTTCCCACAGTCCTCTGTTCACATCTGCCCTTCCTCACTCCTCCTTACCCACGCCAGAACCCACATCACATTGTCTGCTATGAGCTGCCAATTTATCCCAAAGGGCTATGAGCTTCTTGAGGCAGGTGTTCTTTTTATGTCATTATAATCCACAGAAGGTCTAGGCATCAGGAAATGTTAGGTGAATTAGGTGTTCATCCAGTCATTCATTTATACAAAAGGTGTTGGGCCCTTTCTGTGTGCCACAGGCTGGGTGGTAGAAGTAAGTAATCTATCTTACAAGAAGTAAGATAGACACCACCTCTGCCCTTATAGAGTTCCAAGTCTTGGATGAGAGATTCTAAGCAAATGTTTCTGGCAAAAGAATTTAATTACACTTGTGATAAGTGCTATGAAGCCATGGCTCTGGGGACCGTCATTTGCTCGGCCAGCTGGGTTGGTCTTAATGTTCCCCTTGCTTCTCTCCTTGGCTTTGAGGGGAGCCTGAGAGAAGGACAGGACTCTAGCCACGGTCAGAGATGGCCAGTGGCTTTGGCTCCCTGGGCTCAGGTCTGTGGGGTGTTTGGACATCTAGGAGGAAAGAGGAATGACTGGACCTGGGGATTTATGCTTGGCTGTTACTTGAGTTCTGCTTGATAATGACCTGGGCGGTTGTCAGCCGTCGAACCCTGCCCTTTGCTCAAGCCCCTCACCTGTTAACAAAGTCCCTGCTGAGTGCCAGGGTTTAGTCTTCCCTGTCAACTTCCAAGTATTTCTCTCAGATGTTTTGCCAAATGACAAACTAAAGGTAGACTGGAATATGAGTTGACCTTTTCTTTTTCCTCCGCTGCAGTTCTGAGTTTCTTAAAGTGGTTGCCTGAGAAACAGTGATATCCTGCAGGCAGCTGGGCCACTGGGCATGCGCTGTTCCAAGCACCATCCCTGCTGCCTCCTCCTTCTGCCTTTGTTGTTCAGTCTCCACCCAGGCAGCCATCCCTCCTCTGTAGAACCCCCAGTGAGCCCGCAGGTCCCTCTTCTCATCTGCACCACCATGCCACCCAGGCTTCCCTCATCTTGGGCTGGTCTTTCTGCTCCCACCTCCCCTCTGCTCTCTTCCTGGGAGGTGGAGTTAGAGCAGCCTTTCTAGAATGCATGCCCCAGAGTCCCTGCTCCTGAAAGCCCGCTCGTGGCTCCCATAGGCCCCAGGATGGAGCCCCAGCTCCTTGGCCTCCTGCCATGCCTCCCACTACATGCCCCCTGCCCTTGTGTGCTGCCTGGCAGAGCCTCCCCGGGTCTCCGGGCGTGTGCGTCTCTGTGCCTTTGCCCCTGAGCCCCTCTCTGTGGCCACCCTCCCACTGCTCCATGGATGCAAAACTGCTCTTGCTTCTCTCCCTGTGGTGGGCTATGTTGCCCCACACTGTGAACTGTTGCATGGTCATGAACTTGACCTTCATTCATAACATTTGTTGCTGGCTCATGATTTGTTTAGGTGTCTGCTTCCACAACCAGACCTTCGGCTCCCTGAGTATAGGTGCTCTGTCCTGGTCATCTCAGACTCCCCCACTGTCCAGTACAGAACCCAGTGCAGAGGGGCCGATCATTAAGAACGTCAGTTGAATGAAGGAACGAGTGGATGCACAAAAGGATAGTTGTACCGTCATACTGGGGCACAAATTATATCCCTGGCGGAGAACTGGGTTCACTGGCATGGCGGAATATCACCTCCTTCTCCAGCCAACTCCACTTTGCCTTCCACCTGCGACTCATTAAGAGATATGTAACCTTAATCCTTGAAATTGCCTGGGATGGAGCATGTTTTCACTCAATGGCATGGACATAGGGATTTTATTCCTCTCTTAAGTAAATCTCACTCCCCTAGGAAGCTTGGACAGGATGTGGGCAATCGAACTAGGGCTTGAAACTGAACGTTTTGCAAAAGGCCCCTTTCGAAATCTGAAACCCTGTGGCCACTGGCCAGAGCTGAGTCTGGCTTGTGGGGGTCGCGGGGGCCTCCTCTCAAAGAAGGGAAGGGAAGATTGAAAATAAACCTAGGCTGATGGTTTGTGAGACAGAATTCTGAGGTCTGGTTTTGCTTCTCTGACGAAACTTGAGTGAACTTGGCCATCCTCTTTAGCTCTTCTTTCGAGCCTTTGGCCGAAGGCTCCAACCCTCCCAAAGCCAGAAGGGAGCTTGATTTGATCCTGAAATGGACGGGACAAGTGTGCAGGCACTAGGTGGGGTGGGAGCTTTGGCCCAGGTTGGGAGGAGAGGGAACTCAGGGCCAGGGCCAGCGATCGTGCAGTCCCGCTCAGAGGGTGGAGTGGCTGGAGGCTGACCTTTCTCCCAGGGAGCAGGCGCTGGGTGGACCCTGACACTGGGGAGAATGAAAGGAAAATTATATCATGCCTATTGTGTGCCAGGCAGAGGCAGCAGTTCCCCTTTCATCTGGGGAATGTCCCGGGTGGGTGATGTCAGTTCCTCATTGTGCAAACAAGGAAACTGAGACCCGGGGCCCATCCCATCCACGATCAGGGCCCAGGCAGCTCTGACTCAATGTTCAGTGCTCTCTGCAGGTGTCTGGGCACTTGCCACACAGAGCAGTGACCAAGGATCACAGATGCAGTGGGCTGGGGGGATGGCAGAAAACAAAGGGTTAGGGTGCCCGGATGCCAGGTTCTCAGTGCTGGTGTCCTCACAACGGGCTGTCCCTATGCCCCTGCTGTCCTCAGTGGGTGGACACTAGATCTGGACTGACCCCTGGGACAGGAGGATTCGAGATGTCTTATTCTCTTTTGATTTCTTTTGTCTTTTCTCTGCCAGGAAGATACTGGTCTCTGTTCTTGGTTAAGTTCCCGGAACCATCTAAGTTTCGTGCCCCTCAGCTGTAAAAGGGAAGTGCATTGCATTTGTTTATTCTGTAAAACTCTTGGTGTGTGCCATGGTATGCACTGATGACGAGCACATGTGTGCGGCCCTGCCCCCATGGAGCACGTACATGGTCCTTCAGCCGGAGACCGCGCTGGGAGAACTCAGGGGTTCACTCCCGGTCAGAGGTGAGCATCTGCCTCTGCACAAAGGAAGGCATTTCATGAAACCCCAAAGGCCCCGCAGCCCCCGCACGTGGAAGGAGTCACTCTCCTCCATGTGGGGTGAGCCACGCTGGCCTTGTGGCATTCACGTGTTCTCTCCACCTGCTTCTCCAGCCTGAAGGGGACCTCAGTGTCCTCTGATGACCTTCTTGAAGAGAGACATTTCCTCCCTGCCTTCATTGGAGCCTTTAGACGGAGCCGATGACAGCCCAGCTCAGGTTGTTTCCCATCTGTGAAATGGGAAGAGGGAGGATGGCGCCAGTCCCTTACCCTCACCACATTGTCCGCTACAGAGAGGAAAGATGTTTCCATTCTGATCCCCACACACCTCTACCCCGTCCTTCCAGGCTCCTGATCCTCATTGTAATTTTGGGGCTATTTGGTGATATTTTCTTTGTCCTTGGATCTGAGGCTTCTCCTACCAGCACGTGTTTTTTCAACATGACAAAATAAAAGCCCTGGGCCAGGCGGGGTGGCTCACGCCTGTAATCCCAGCAGTTTGGGAGGCCGAGGCAGGTGGATGACAAAGTCAGGAGTTCGAGACCAGCCTGACCAGAATGGTGAAACCCCATCTCTACTAAAATTACAAACAATTAGCTGGGCATGGTGGCACGCGCCTGTAATCCCAGCTACTCAGGAGGCTGAGGCAGGAGAATTGTTTGAACCCGGGAGCTGGAGGTTGCAGTGAGCTGAGATCACACCATTGCACCCCAGCCCGGGCAACAAGAGCGAGACTCCGTCTCGGGGAGTAAAGAAAATAAGACAGCCCTGCTCCTGCAGCAGGGGCTGAACCCCATCCCTGACAGATGTTTCTGGTATCAGCAGCAGCTGGTGACCCCGGCCAGCCCCCTGCCAGCCGGGGTTGCTGGCAGCGACTCAGAGGGGACAAAGGCCATCCTGGGCACATGTGTCCCTCCTGTGGCCTCCCTTCCTTCAGCTGCCCGCCCCCACCCCCAGCCCCACCCCCACCCCATTGCTGCTGGGCTCCTGGCTTCATTTATTGATGGACTCTCCTGTGGGGTTCTCTGGGGAACCCAAGCCAGAGTTCAGACTTCATAAAGGGCTGCTTAACTGACTCCCTGTGTCCCGGGGTTCCCCTGTCCTCCTCTGTGACCCTGGTCCCTGGCCCCCTCATTTGCACGCAGCTGTGCTATACATTCCCTTTGCATCACCCCCCACCCCCTGCTCCCTGCAAAACCCCACTGCTCTGCAGGCCACAAATCCAGAGATTTAATACCCCAGTGAACTGTGGGTCACGTTCCTTGGCTCAGCTGTTTACTCAGCTGGTGGGTGCTCATCAGAGTTGGAGAAGCCATATTGGAAGGGAGGAGTCCCAAAGGCAGCAGCAACCCCTCTAAAGTCATGGGCCCTGCGGTCCCACGCTGCTGCAATAAAGGTCTCCTGGCTTCGCCTCCCAGGCTTCCTCCTTGCCATCCTTTCTCGGGGACTCTGGCTGTGTGGCCTGGGTTTGGATTTGTATTGTGAGGAAGAAGAGACAGAGTGGGGTGTGTGACAAGGGCTAGGGTAAGCAGGAAATCAAGCCTTGCTAGTTGGTTTTCTGGAGTGGAATTGAGCCTTAAGAAAAGAGACTTGTGAGGGCCAGGTGTGGTGGCTCATGCCTATAATCCCAGTGCTTTGGGAGACCCATATGGGAGGACAGCTTGAGGCCAAGAGACCAACCTGGGTAACATAGCAAGACTCCGTCCCTACAAAAAAATGAAAAGATGAGCTGGGTGTGTTGGTGCACACCTGTGGTCCCAGCTACTCAGGAGGCCCTCGGGATGCCCCTCTACCCTGACTTCTAGTATGGCTTTGTGCCACTGTACTCCAGCCTGGGTGACAGAGCAAGGTCCTATCTCTAAAAAAAGAAGAAAGAAAAGAAAATGAGCCTCGTGAGCTGGAAACAAGGGAGGCAGAGGTCCTTCGAGTTCCCCAGCCCAACCCTGCGGGACCCCCAGGGAGCTGTCCCTCCCTCCCTCCCTGCTTCCCTGACACGGGTGGAGTCTGTGCTGCCACACTGGCCACCTTGCTGAAGCCTGCCAGTGCTGCAGGGGGGTGTCACTGGCCTTCCTTACAGAGAAGGAAACTGAGGCTCAGATGAATGCAGACAGCCTAGGCCTGCGCCAAGTCTGGGGTGCATCTCACGTCCACACACCTGCCTCCAGTACTGCTCACTGCCCCCGGGACACACAGGTAGGGGATTGAAGCAGAAGCTGGCAGCGGCTCTGTCTGCAGAGGCTGGTTGCCTCGTCTCCCATCTGTGCGCTTGGGTCAGGGCCCCTTTCACGAGAAGGCCTCCGTCCGGAGAGCACCGCAGCACATGTTCACTGTTTGCTCAGCAGGATGAAAGAGCTTACCAGACTTTCCTGGCCAAGTTGACCAATTGGTGATTTTTCATAAAGCCCCACAGCAAAGCATCTGGAAAGCTCCTTTCCTGCTCCTGACAGTCACCCCGAACAGCATGTTTCCAAATCCACAGAACATATGGGCTGCAGAGCTGAGAGCCTTGCTCCTGGCCCAGCCAACAGAATGCCGTCTTCTTTCCCTGGCGTGGGCGCAGGGGCCGCTCTCAGCTGCCTTGCCCCCAACCTTAGAGCCTTGCCTTTGGTACCCGCTCGCTTGCCTCCAAATTCCTGCGTCCAAGACCTCAGGGACAGCCCCCGTTGGGTACTCATCTGCTATTAATACCAGCCCATTTCTTTCCCAGCAAGGAGAGCCTGGCTGAGTCAGTCCCTGGGCCAAGATTGGTATGGAAGGAACTCTACTGATATGAGCAAGGCAGTGAATAGGCAAAGCACAGCTCCTGAATCCAGGATCAGGTCATAGCCAGTGGCCATCAGAGCCTCAGATGGAAGAGCCAGCGGGAAGCCCCAGACCCACCTGGCTGTATGGGACATTGACCCAGCACAGGGAGAAGACCCAGGTGGATATAAGTTGTAGTTACTGTTCTAGTTCTGGGTTGGAGGCTGGGCTTATCCATGGGCACTGAATCCTTAAAAAGTTAAATGAAGATGCTAACATAGAGCCACTTATGGACTCATGTTGACTGGTGTCAGAATAAAGTCTACAATCAGTCCAATTCTGTGTATATCTGAGTTTGAGGACAATGATAGTAATAATAACAATAGCAATAACTTGACTGGTCTAAACCTCAATGCATTGCTCTACTTGGCCAAACCTGTACACCCTCTTCCCCCAAGTTCCTTTATCTCGATGAATGGCCTCAGTAATCCTGAGACCAAAGTCTGCTGCATCTTCTTCCTCCCCTGCACCCTCCAGGAGCAATCCATCACCAAGTCCCATCAGCGCGACACCCTGAATGTCTCTCCTCCTCACTTCCTTCCAGTTGCCCCTGCCTGGTCGGGCCTCATCTTCCCTGTCTGGCTCCATTGGATGCCCTCTGCTTGCTTGCCTCGTCTCTGGCTGTATCCTGTGGGTGACATGCATGCATAACCGGCGCCACTTAAACCCCCCGGTGGGCTCCAGGGTGCACCAAGCCACGCCATCCCATTGGCCCCGTGTCCTTTCCTTTTCCTCTCTTGCTCCAGCCTTACTTGTAATTCCTCAGTTCACACCTCCATCATGTCTGTCAGTCTCAAGATCTCCTCAAAACCCCCAGCCCTTCTCCAGACCTGTTCAAGTGCCCCATTCATCACTCCCCGTGTGCAGTTCCGTAGTTGTCCATTTTGCATTGACTTCCCAGTATCTGGAGGCAGGAGCCGGCTCTGACCCAACTTGCCATTCCCAAAGTACCCTCTCAGTGAATGTGGCAGGTCCCCCTGCCTTGTCAATAAGTCATGTGATTGGGCAGGTTGTGTGACTTGTCCCTCTTGTCTCGGAAGGTCGTCCTGCCCAGAGCCTGTGAAGGTGCAGTGGCCTGAGCCAGGCTTCCAAGAGGACAACCGTGATGGGCTCAGCGTGTGCGTTGCTGGGTAAGCTCTGCTTTTCCTGGTTACACTCGGAAATACTTGTGTACCTGTGACTAAGGGCCAAACTCGGACTAGATGATAGGCGATCAAAGATGGGCTTTGTGACAGGCTGGAGTGCCTGCGATGGCCTCAGAGAGGGGCTGGAATGCATGTACTTCTCACCAAGAACATTAGCAAGCAGAGGCTGGGTCATTTCTAACAGCTGCTTCTCTGAGTGGAGGGAAGGGCTGGCTAGAGAAGTCCCTCATCTCTGGTCCCACCTAAGAGATGGGAGTCATGTTACTTTGCAGCTGACCAGATGCCAGCTTGAGATGGGGCCCAGGGTAACCTTCACATCCCTGCCCGAAGGCTCCTTTAAAAATTATGTAGCTAATTGCATTCTATTAACTCATTACCGTAATGGAGAGTGCAATAAGCAGGGGTCATGTATGTTTTCCCCATAAAATAACCTAAGCTAATGGCTGACATTTATTGCACATAATTTTTAAAAATATTTTTCCCATTAAAAGAGAAATATATGTTTATTATACAGAGCTTGAAAAATATTGAAAAGAACAAGTGTAAGAGCAAGACTCTCCCTAGTTCCCCCACTCACAGATCACCATTGCCAACATTTTGGTGGCCAGCCTCAGCCTTTTGTTTTTTTCTATAAATTAGGTGTGTACGTGTCTGTGTGTGCTTAATTGAGTTTATCATTGCCATCCTGTCTTCTATTTCCACTAATTATATATCCTGAACATTTCCCAAGCCATTAAGCAATTTCTTATCTTGTGCTTTTTAATGGTTACATAGGGTTCTAGCAAATGGCTCTATTGTAATTAATTGGTTTGCTTTTATTGAATATTTAGATCCATTTAGAAGTTGAATTGCGCAAATCGGGAAGGACATCTTTGTTTATTCATCGTCTTATACGTGTCTGGCTCACTTTCTGCAGTTCATTCTGTGTCAAAAGGTGTGAGCGTTTTATGGCCAAATTGCCCTCTTAAAGCTTGTATCAACTTACATTCTCAGAATTAGTTTGAAAAGTGCCTGTTTCTCTGGGAATTATCAAGGTTGTTCACCTTTGCCAATTTGTCAAAACACAGTATTTCGTTCTTTTCGTTGGCAGTTCTTTTATTACCTGTGATAAAAGACATTTCCCCCTGTCTCTTTTGGTTATCTGTATCTGAATTGCCAGTTCAGGTTTTTTTTTCATTTTTCATTTAGTTTTTACTTTTGTCAAAGTCATTGCATATGCATCGTTTTAAGAGTCAGATGGTTGTAGAGCAGCAGGCTTCCAACTCCACCCTAATTTTCTGCTTAACGGAAGCAATAGTTTTTAACTCCTTTAACTGATTCTCTTGACATTTACATCCGAATATCTAAGTAACATTGTTTTTCTCTTCTACTTCTTGATTTTCTTTTTCTTTTTTGAGGCTTAGGCATTATCGTGACTTTATAACTGTAGAAGATGAGGATTTGACTCCTTGGCCTCACCGCCCCCTCCTCCCTTCTTTCTGTGCACCATCCTCAATATATTTAGTACATAGTTCAGGCTTGATCCAAATTCAGAGTTCACCTTTTTATGAGAGTGTAAGCACTCCTGGAATCTGAGCGTTAGCACTACAATTTACCTTTCCTTCACGACTATTTTTTCTCTTGGAGTTAGTAATTATCTTGTATTTTTTTTTCTCTTTGATTGGTTAGTTTTTTTGTGAGCCTAGCTGATTTATCCCTAGCCTCTCAATATATTCAAACACATTATTTTTAATTTTTTAAAAAATGTGTTTTATACTATCTAGAAATGTCTTCCCAGAGCCTTCTGGCCAGTTTTGTTATGAACTGGGTGATCTTTAGGGCTCTGGATACCATCTTGGAATATCTTTCACATTCTCCTTCTGAGGATTCCTTTGATCCTGTCTCTTTAGCTGGATTTTGTAGATTGCCTACTTATGTAGATTCCATGTTATCATCCTTTTTGGTTTACTCCTTTGTTTTGCTAGAGTGCATCCTCTAGCAGTTTCTGTAGAAATGCTTAATGGAAGGTAAATTTTTAGAGCTCTTTCACATCTAAAAAGGAAAATATGTAGCCCACACTAACATTGAAAGATTGGCTGAGTATAGAATTCAACGTTGGAAACCTTTTTTTAAAATTTTGGCTCAGATTTTGAAAGAACGAATCATTATCTTGTGGCTTTCAGTGTTATTGGTGAGATGTCTTAAGTCTTTGTGATTCCTCATCCCTTCTATGTGAATTTTTTTTCTTCCTTTCTGGAACTTGTAGAACTTTCTTGTTGTCTTCCAATGTTTTAAAATGTCATGTGTTTGTGTATTGATGTACATCTGTGTTTATCCATTTTTCCAGGTTCTTTTAGCCTGAAGACACTTGTCCTTCAGTTCTAGAAACTTGTCTTGAACAACTGGTTGGATCATTTCCTCATATTTGTTTTCTCTTCCTAGCATTTCCTTCTTTTTTTTCTTTCTTTTCTTTTCTATTTTCTCCCCCCTACCCTTTTTTTCTTTTTTTTTTTTGATGGAGTTTCACTCTGTTGCCCAGGCAGGAGTGTAGTGGTACGATCTTGGCCCACTGCAACCTCTGCCTCCCAGGCTCAAGCAATTCTCCTGCCTCAGCCTCCCAAGTAGCTAGGATTATAGGCGTGTGCCACCACGCCTGGCTAATATGTGTATTTATGGTAGAGATGGGGTTTCATCATATTGGTCAGGCTGGTCTTGAACTCCTGACCTCAAGTGATTCACCCGCCTTGGCCTCCCAAAGTGCTGGGATTACAGGCTTGAACCACCACGCCCAGCCTCTCTTCCTAGCATTACTATTGTTTGTATGTTGGAACGCCTGACTAGTTTTCTAATATTTCCATATTTTTCCTTTGATTTTTAACTTTTATTATTCATGTTCTGTTTCTAAGAAGGATTTCCCTATCTTCATGTTTTAACTTATTTTCATTTCTGCTTTCATATTTCTAATTTTTAATTCTTAAATTATATTCTAAATATTATATAGCATTTTGTTTTATGAGTGCAATTGCCTCTTTAATATCTCTGATAATATTAATAATAGGTCTTTTGAAATTTTTTTCTCCCTGCAGAGTAGGCAAGCTTCATTCAGTTTATCACTTTGAACTGGAAATCGTTTACCCATTTTGCTCTATAGGTGTGTTCATTTTTTATTTTGATTTTGTAAGACCTTTTTTAACAAGAATAGTAACTCTTTTGCTGTCATATGTTACCTGGATCCCCCACTTTTTCATTTGCCATTCCATTTTGTTCATAAATTATTTTTTATTTTAAAAATTATTATGTTCTAAAAATTTATCATGAATTTTTCCTTACAATTTCTTCACTTGCATTTTTCTTTTGGCTCAGAAAGTCTTTTCCCAAACTGAACTTTAATTTTTTTTTTAGTTCTTTCATGATTTCATCTTTTATATTTGAATCTTTACTTATCAACTTAATTATTGTGAGAAATAACTAATTGTTCCACTTCCACATTTACTACCTGCTAGATACTTTTATAGTTTGGGTTCTTGTTCTGGTTTTCTATTATCCATTGGTTTGTCATTGCTTTATTTTAGTTTATTGTATTATTAAAATGTGTTATTACTCAGTAGCAATAGTCTTCCTTAATTCTTATTTGTCAAGATTTTCTCCGTTAGTCTTATGTGTATGTTCTTTCAGATGAACTGTAGTGATATTGTAAAGTTAAAAACATTCTTTATGGATATTGTGTGGAACTTTATAAAGCTGTCAGTTAATTTAAAGAGAGTTAATATTTTTTGAAACAGGCTTTGCATGATATTTTGCAGCTTTATGTATACATATATATTCATAAGTTGTCAAATTTGATAGATTCACAATTTGTTACTTTTATTTCAGGAAATTAAGTGTGGCTTCTATTGTGAATTTGATCCACTTTCTTTATATTTTGTAACTGGTTGTTATTGGTATGTAGGGAAGTGTCTATATATTTATTGTTACTGTTCATCTCACTGAATTCTCTAATTTGTTCTGCAAGTTTCTAGTTGAGTGTTTTGGAATTTCTAGGTAAAGAGTCATTCATGGCTGGGCATGGTGGCTTATGCCTGTAATCCCAGCACTTTGGGAGGCCGAGGTGGGTGGATCACCTGAGGTCAGGGGTTTGAGACCAGCCTGGCCAACATGGTGAAACCCCGTCTCTACCAAAAATACAAAAAAATTAGCTGGGCGTGGTGGCGGGTGCCTGTAATCCCAGCTACTCTGGAGGCTGAGGCAGGAGAATCGCTTGAACCCGGGAGGCGGAGGTTGCAGTGAGCCAAGGTCGTGCCACTGGACTCCAGCCTGGGCGACAAGAGCAAAACTCCGTCTCAAAAAAAAAAAAAAAAAAAAAAGAAAGAAAAAAGAGTGATTCATATCTATATATAATGCAATTTTTGTCTGTCATTTTATCTCATCTATTTCTTTTCCTTTGGCTAGATCTTCTAAAACATTGTATTATTGATAACAGAAATCTTGTCTTGTTTCTGGTTTACTTTTAAGTATGGTTGCAAATCATTTTTTAGTTGAGATTTTTTTAAATAAATGAAGTATTTATACCTAGTTTACATAAGACTTTAAAATCAGGATTGGAGTTAGAATTTTATGAAATGTTTTTTTGATATCTGTAGATACCATGTTGTGTTTCTCTGTTGATCTGTTGATACAATAAACTGTTTCGTAACTTTGAAACATTTTTGGATTGAATTCTACTTGATTATGGTGTATTGTTGTTTTAATATACTACAAGATTTGCTAGGCTAATATTTCATTTAGAATTTTCCAAATCTATTTTTTTGTTGAATTTGGGTGTCAAAGTTATGCTGACTTTGTAAAATAAATTAGGCAACATTCCCTCTTTTTCTGTGTTCTGTACCATATATGCATTATTTGAATGA